CAGTTTGGATAATGTTGGCCTTTGCTGAGACTTTGCAGTAAAATTGAAAGCAGACCTCAGCAACAATCTAAGTTTGGGCAAAGATTACAAACTCTGGAAAACAACCCAACTGTGTGTTAAAAATAAAAGATCTATCCTGATATAAAACCAGAAAGAGAATGAATGTTTCAAACTAACTGATAGCACTAAAATTTTTCCTGACAAAACCTTATTTTAGACACCTTGTTTTCTGGAAAGCCAGAAGTAACAGCTTACAAAAGGATAACATTTTATAATGTTGATAAGTTATTTGCTTAATTTTCAGCTACTTGTATTACATTTTCCTAAAACCATAGACTTCAAAGATAGGATTGCTAGCATGCAAGAGACTATGTAACTATAATTGCTGAGATATTATTTTTAATTATTTGAAGTATCTGTTGATTATCCTGAAAAGTAACATTTTTTTTTTTTCTGGCAGCACATATTCAATAAACAGAGAGCAGCAGAAACTGTGATGGCTCTCTTCACTGCTCCTGCATCCCTCTGGTAGGAAATCAGAGATCTTTTCTAAGCTCCTTTCACCTTAGACCATTTGAAATAATTGAAGAAGCTACTTAGTCAAATCCAGTAGCTTGAAACTTGGGAGCTGCTGATTTTATACCCATATATTGCCATAATGTGGTATTTAGTCTTGTGGATCCTATACCATGCATTATTCAGGCAAAAATGTATTTATCCTTGTTTAAGTAGAAAACAGTTAAAAATGGAAGATTTGAAGCAATCTGCATGTGAAAGAGAGAGAGAGGCAAGGACAGGGATAGTATGTGTACTGAGCTACCTGTCTTGTACATCACATTTTGACCTGCTGCTTTGGGCTTCTGAGACAGAGCCAAAGGGCATAACTGGCACAGCTACATGGAAGGCAATTGGCCTTCTGAGGAGATCCTGCTCTCTTGTCCTTGTTACCTGTAAAATGGGAAAGATCCTTACTCAGTTCCATCTCACAGACTGACGAAAAAATCCATGCTTTCCATTTCAGGCTTTGGAGACCTCAGGCAAAAATAAAAGACACATGCAAGTGCTGTACAACCAAAATGATAAAATAAAGAATGGAATGTTTAAATGAAAACATGTATTGGGTGTTTTTGTACATGCAAAGGCTTCTCTGAGATCAGCTGTCTCCTTTTTATGCCACTGTGAGTTTCTGTTGGTCTTTTTGGAAGGACTTGAACCAAGTCCCTTCTGACATATGTGTTCTTAGTCTGGACCAGTGACATGATCAGTCTTCTGAGTCATCCTTATGCTTTCATGACACAGTGCTTGCACTGCTATATCTTACTGAGACTCACAGATTCCTAAATACAAATGCCTGTTACTGTAGATTAAGGCAGAAAACCAGGAGCAATTACAATCCCTGCACAGCCCTGCCACAGAGGACACATCACCAGGATATACTTGAGCATGGGGCCACATAGCAAGACCCTAAACACAAGATTTCTGCCAAGGAAATCTGTTTCTCTCCAGCCAGCACAGGGGTAAGGAAAAAAGAAAGGAGCCGCAGCACTGCCCTGTACACGACAATAATATCAGCCCTGCAGTGTAGGAACAACAAAACTGGGGCAAACAGTGGGGACGGGAAAGTTGAAGGCACCTTACAATCTAATAAACTCATGTCTGATTAATAAAGGAGCAAAAGCAAATGCAAGAACCTCGCAGGCCTGCCTACACAAAGGACTGGGGAAAAGCCTAAAGTAAGGCTAATCCCTTCACAAGCCCTTACAGTTCTTCTACTCCTCACTGAGTTTAAGACCCATTTAAATCTTATCCAAACAACTCCAATCAGCACTTTATGGCCATCAGCTGCAGCCATGGCACTGACATTAGCCCTGGAGGCAGCACCACCTGTGTGTCCTCCTCTGAGAGACCCCACCTTGACCGAAGGTGGAATGCAGCAGAAGGTGGGATGGAATCACAGAAATTCAAAGCAGCAGCATGCAGAAAAACAAATTTATAAGGTAAAAAGCAGAAGACCGCACAGCCACTATAAGAAAAAAGGCAGGGGGTACACCAACATGGTAAACTGAAAAAGGAGGAGGAATGACAGACTTTCAGAATGGGTAAGACTGGAAAGGATCACAGTGGGTCATTTGATCTAAACTCCCTGCTCAAGCAGGCCATCCTAGAGCACATGGCACAGGATTGTGTCCAGATGGTTCTTGAGTATCTCCATGGAAGGAGTTTCCACAACCTCCTTGGGCAACCTGTTCCAGGACCTAGTCACTCACACACTCACCTGGTCCCCTCTCAGTCATCTCATGTTAGGGTTGAAGAGGCCCAACTCCCTCAGCCTTTCCTCATAATGGAGGTGTTCCCATCCCTTAATCACCCTCACAGCCTCTGCTGGACCTGTTCCAGGAGCTCCATGTGTCTCTTGTACTGAGGAGCCCAGAACTGGACGCAGCACTCCTGCCCCTCCCCAGGGCTGAGTAGAGGGGCAGGATCACCTCCTTCAACCTTGTCCTAGGGTGACATTATGATGTTTGTATCCCCAGTTGTCTGTTCTGTTTATGCTGGATATTATATCCTTGCCTTCAAGAGTGGCTCTGAGAGTGAAGGCGGGGAGAAGAGGAAGCACGGAGTTTGTCAGCAGCCTGCACTCACTCCTCCACATTCTGCTGGACTGTGTTGTCTGGGCACAGATGGGGCAGAATAGGGCCCTCCTTTTCTTTTTAGTTAGTTTATCTAGCTGAGGCACAGAAGTTTTCCCTGGACTGGTTTTCTTTCCCTTTTCTTGGAACTGTTTGAACCTGCTCCAGACCGGGACCCGGGGAGCACCGAGAGCTTGCACCTTGTGGCCTACCCGGGCCTGCTCTGGGCAGCAGCCTTTCCCAGCGCTGGAGGGACTGATAATAAAGCAACCACCCACAGGAGAGACTGAGAGACTTTCTGAATTTGTCATCTCTTCAGAGTGGTGAATGAGTTTTGTCATGTGGTGCTGTTCATTTTTTGTGCTGGGGAGTGCTTTGCCTGTCAAATAAAGAGGTTTTTTTTTCCACTTCTCTCCGAGAAATTTTTCCCGAACCGGTTGGGGCGAGGGGCCATAGAGGTTTGCTTTCTGGGGGGGACCTTTTTGGGGATTTTCTCCCAAATTTGCCCTAAACCAGGACAAACCTGCTGTCAGTGCTCTCCCTAATGCACCCCAGGGTACCACTGGCCCAGTATGACCCTCTGGGATTTGCTGTTCAGCCAGTTCTCAATCCATCAGGAAGGAGGAACTGTTAGAAAAGTGAGAAGATTTATCATTAAAAATACCCCTCTGCTCTTCCCAATGTGTTTGAGAACACGTTCATTGTGCACATGCAGCTTATCTCTATAGCTCAGAGAAGAGAATAGATCAGCTCTCCGCTGTCACCTCGACTGATAGACAGCTGTTGCTGTGGCAGAGTGACAGCTGAAAAGCCGTGTGATTGATTCCAACACTGTCTTGCTCGATTGCAACTAACAAGAGGCTTGTGTTCACTCTGCCTTTATTGAAGTGATTTCTTCTAATTGTCTATTTAACACATTAAAAAATACTGGGAGATGCAGGTCAGTGCTCCAGTAAGCTGATGTTCGGGCAATGTTTCCCAGGTACAAATGAAGATTTGCTTATGCTCAACACAAAGGCTGAAGAGAAAAAAATTAATGATCTTATCAGGTAAAGCAGGTGTTGTGGTCACACCACCAAGGTCACTAGCATTAACAAAGCACTTTGAAAACAGAGCTGTGGCGTGTTCTCAGCAAGGTGCTAGAGTGTTGTAGAGATAATGTACTCAGCCTCGAGGGGAAAAAATATGATGCGCTAACACTCGCTAACAGCTGTTAATGGCAGAGAATTGTGGACAGGAGAAGGATGTTTGACCTACCAGTCCTTTGGAGGAAGATGTAAACAACTGGCTCGATTCCCCACTGCCTTGCCCCTACTATGGCCTTCTATGCTTATGCCAAGTAAATGCAGCATATATGCTAAATGCTCTCACAAAAAGAGCTGAGCTTTGCCACCACTTGCATGGATGTAAAAATCTACAAAAACTGCAAGGTAAAGGAAAACTAGGGTGTGCAAATGCAGGGAGAGGGGGTTTATGCAAGAATAAAGCAAATAGGGAGACTCAGAAATGCAGATATATAGCAACTAAATGAAAGCAGCATCTTTTAACTCTGCTAAGCGGTGCCGCAGGAGTCCTGAGTCACTGCTACTACCCTCCATGACAAAAATACATTGTTACTGCCTCTCTTTTCTGAGCCGTGGCAGGGCCATCCCATCTAGGAAAGAGAAAACACCACTCCCTTCCGCATCAGCAGACTGGACAACCCAAGGCCAGCTGCACACCTCACTTTTGCCTAGCTGACACCTGCAGGAGGGCCACCACAGGCTCTGCCTCACTCGGCAGAGCAATGGCATTTCAGGATGAGGAGCACAAGCTGTGCCATCATCCGAGCTCAAACACCCTCAGGTCCTGCTCCACTCCACCAGCAAATCCACACGTGCCTTACAGCCTTGCTTGAGGCAGCAGCAGTGTTTCACTCGCCATAACTTTAAATACTGATAAGGGTGTAGAAGCAATAAAGAAGCATTTATACTGCCCATTGCAGTGCAAAAAGAGATGGAAAGCTACTTACTTGTAAATGAGCATATGGATCCAGAAGTCACTTGGAGAAGTCAGCACAAGACACTCTGAAGAGACCACAATGACCTCTACTTTCTCAGTGACACAGCATCACTGAGAAATATCTCCCTTCAATAGGCTTTGGATTAATGAGGCTGAAATTCCTAAGCATGTCTCCAGAGATGGAAAATGGACTCTATAGGGCCCAATGAAAACATGCACTGCTAGGTCAACATGAGGTACATCTTTTCTGAAGCTTGAAGTGCCATCCTTTAGCAGATTTAGACACAGATTTAACATTCAACAGAAATTTTTAGAAACGAAACCAAAGAGAAAACCAGAGCGTGACAGTTTGTGCCATCTGCATGGGATATGAGCATGAGTTTTAATGACACTAGATAAAACATTATTTAAAAAAAATTATGTTGAAATCCATTTACTGATTATAAACCCTCTAAGAAAAAAAAGCTAGTGGCATGTGCACTTGCATCTGCTGCTGTTTTGTGCTCCAGTTGACTTCTTGCATAGGAGGTTCTGCATCAGTGGGGATAGCAATTCACTGGTAGGCATCCTTCCTCCTTTCCCATCCTTTTTCTGCTGCACTAGTAAAGCAGAGTCTAAAAAAAAAAATACACCCAAAATTAGTCAGTGGGGTGAGGGCAGAACAGAGTACTGGAAATGCATAGTATTAGAGAGTAGGCTACCACTGTGATGAAATGAGAGCTACATTTTGACAGTATTCTCTGGTGCCTGCACTGTGCAGGAGGTCAAGACTTGACTATGCATACTCTGATCCTCCTGGAGACTCAACACCTCCTCAACTGCACAGCAAGCATTTCAAGCTATTTCTATTTTTATGAACTTTCTAGACACTTTCCTCATCTTCCATATAAAAATGTCTTTACTGTATCCCAAGCCTCTCCACCCACTAAGCTATTTGCAATTCCTCTACCACTATTGAAATAGATGCTGTATAGAATCAGAAACCACAAGAAAACAATGAGAGTAGTAAGCAGACCTGTATTTAATTAAGAATTTATACAGTATGTTGCAATTTTTTAAAAGACATTTCTATAGAAAATAAGAGACATATTATTTTCCCTCAACAGCTACATTTCTCCATTTGACATATTGTAGACCAAACTAAGCTCTTTTCCCTTCTGGAGCTCCTCAGACTCCAGAAAATTGCTGGTTTAACTCCTCAACCGTAGCTGTGTCTGCAAACTAGTTCTACTTCACATGTGCTTGGCAGCCCAGTATCAAAGCAAAGCAGGAATGCTTTCCCCTACTGGGCACCAAATTCTCCTGCAGCCAGAGCTGAGGGCTGCACCCATGAACTGCCAGCTGAAGTAGTGCACCCTGTCCCAGTGCCTACAGAGGTAGCTCAGAAATAGTTTAGGTAAGGGACAAGAATGGCTGCAAATGCTCTTTCCATGAGTTTTCATAGCAATATGAGTTTTATACGTCGCAAGAGCCAAACACATATAACCAATGTAGAAAGCTTCAAAAATGTTGGAGACCTTGCTCCTTTTTCCTGTATTTTGGCCATGTGCTCCTCTGTACACTTTTCTTGTATTTTGGCCATGTACACTTCAATCACAAGAAATTTACCTCAGAAAGAGTTTTTGGAGAAAACAGATCAGGAGTAATGCTACGTGTTCATCATTCCCAAGTGGTGTGTTCCTACTTGGAGTGCCCAGAAAAAGATCAATAATACACACACCTCTGCTGCTGTCACTGTACGTGTACATGACCAATGCCTCCCTCCAAACAGCACAGGTGTAAGACAGCAGCCTAATATTTGTAGCCCTTTGAGAACAAGTAATAGGAACGATAGCACCCAGCTGAAACCCCTCTATTTTTTCTATTCACATTACATTAAAAATCAAACAGTTATAATTCTGCTATAACCAACTCAGCCTGGATTAAAATACAGGATCTAAAGGCAAATTAAATTTCACCATCCACATTAAGAAATCAATTCAGCTTCTGAACTGGATCAGCTTTGAATTTAGTTGAAATGCGGTTTGATGAAAGACTCCTGTTCAGCAGCAGATATAATTATCACACCCATCTTAATTAGACCATGAACTTGACTTTAGGATCCCCAAAGGAGTATTGAAACCTTGGTCCAGTTACACTGAACTTGGTCCAGAATACTGAAACTTATCCATCAAGATAAATATATTACCAGTTCTTTGATACAACAGATGCTTGATGAGTAATGGAGCAAATGCCTTTTTAACTATGTTTTTTTAAAAGGATTATTAAACTGCACTAAAGTGTATGCTGTTATCTTTGTAGGGAAAAAAGTATAATATATGAAAAACAATTATTACAGAGCACATGGAACACAATTTTTCAAGCACTAGTTTCAGAATTAAAAACATTTGAACAAAGGTTCTCTGTGGAGTGTCACTTTGTAACCAATTAAAGGCTTTAAATAGCTATTGTTTAAAAAAAAATTGTCAGTTATAGAAATTGTTTTCCCTTCAGATTCCAAATCCTGTCAGACCACGCTGATTAAAATGTTGCATTAAAAAAAAAGGGGGGGGAGACAATCTAATCTCCCCTTATAAAAGTAAAAGCAGCAACTCAGTTTTTAAAGTATCATGAACAAAAGGCTGAAGCCCATCTATCATTCACATATGGATCCATGTAATGATTCTTCAATTAGAATTATTATCTGTACAGCAGCTGAAGACTGAGAACTGCTGATACACTGCAGATGAGAACATTTGCTAGTCTCTGGGCTCCAGCCTTTCTTAAAAAATGATGATCACACAATATAGATTGCTCGGTTTATATGTGTATTAAGCTGCAATGCCAGCATTTGCATTTGCAACATTACAATTTTGCTTTCTTAGGCTCAAGAGAATTTGCTGCATCTGGTAGATTTTATTTGCTTTGTATCTTAGGCAATTGTTATAAGCAAAGCACAAATAGGCAGTATTATTGCTCCAAGTCCTTTGTTTTGTTGATTATCTCAGATACCACCAAAAAAAAAAGTAAACTAAGAGTGGGCCTGTGAGATGGGTCATTCAGTGTCAATTCACTTGTACTCTATTATCCCAGTGCTATTTTTATAAGGCAGAGCCATCTGCTCCCTCATTTCTTCCACCTGTATAGATCCAGATAGTCTAAGATGCAACATCAGAGGGAAAGAAAAACATCTCACACAACAGTTGCAGGCCCTGTAAAGGGGGAAAAGTCACTTCGGTGATTCAGACTGCAGCACCCTGAGTGGTCCCTGCCAACCCTTGCACCCTAGCTACATGCTGTGACCTAGAAGATGATGGAGGAAGGTAGACACATGATTAGTAGCTGTAAGACAGCCTTACTAAATTGGCATCTCTTCTTGGTGTTTCTACTAAGGATTCCTGCTCTATGAGCCCTGAGTATATTCTGGAGCCCAGGCAGCCCTCCCAGATGTCTCCCTCATAATGCAGAAGCTGGAGGCAGCAAGTTGGCTCTTACAGATTTTTGAGCCACGTGAAAGCCTTTAGTGATGTGTGTATGTAGAGATTAGAAAAAGGACTGCAACTCAAGAAGCTTTTCTACTTCACTGTACAATCTTGGAGAGATCTTCATAGAAGGCAAATACTGCTAATGCATTCATTATTTGTTTTACGTTGCACAGTTTGGCCACTGCCATCTTTCACAGGACAGCTTTTAGTGGGCAAGAGCTGCCATAGCCATGAAATCTCCCTGTAACTATTATACAAAGGAAATGAAACCTCTGCTCATGGGTACATGCTCCAGTGTTATTTCACTACTTTATTATAGACATTACTGAATAGAGACTAAGAAATTTATACCCTTACTTGAAAAATGCTTTTTCTCCTCTGCTGAATCTCCTCTTTCAAATACACTGTAAAGAACCATGTCTTCTCCACTTACTTGGAAGGATATTGCCATTTGAATTACTAAAAAATTAATATTAATTGAAACTGAAGACATTTATGGGGATAAAGCAAGCAAACAAAACTGAAAACTGGTACAAAAGCTTACCAAAGCAATATAACATGAATACTTAGTCCAAGAGTTCATACATCGTGGTGGAACACATTTCTCAAAAGATTTTAGATTTTCTCACTTCAGGTGGCTTCCCTAAGATCTGTGAAGAACTTGAATGACCCAAATTAAATTTTTTATTTGTTTTCAATTAAAGCTATCATATTTTTATTTTTTTTAATAAAACAGGTTTAAGTAAAAACCAAAAATACTTAGGTCTATGAACTCTTGTTCAGAGCTTTGTTGAAATTTTCAGCTTTGATTGAAAATGGGAAACATTTCAAAGACAAAAAAAACCCCATTAATTGAGGAAGCAGTTCAGTCTGTGTTAGAAGTGACTGAATTACTTTCAGCAGACAATAAATTATGAGACCAAAAAAGGCAGAAATGTCTTCCTCTCAGAGAAGGCAAATGCTATTTTCTTTATTCAGAATCAGGATACTACTCATCAAAAGGTTTATTTTATCTGCTATCACACATCTCCCTAAACTCTTGTAATAATAGTGCTAATATTCACATTCTGTGACTGGTCATCTAAATCAATAATTTATACTCATTCAGGCAATATCAAAAACCAGGAAGAAAGGTATCACTAAGGTGGTTTTCACTGGCTGCTCCAATATGCAGAATACTGAGGCAGTAAGCTGAAGAGATGTGGCTCCAAAGTTTCTGAAGTTTTACTGACTGGAAAAACTGAGGTACAGCATAGTCTTGTTAAAAAAAAAAAAAAAAAAAGGAGGTGGGGGAGGGAGAAGGAAAGGGGAAAGAGAGAGGGAGAGAAAGAAAGAAAGAAAAGACAAGCTATTTACATCTCCTTATAGCCACAAGGGCTCAGTGGCCAAGCTACCTGACGTGTCTCCTAGGATGTGTTTGTACAGCAAACAACAATGGTGACTGCAGTCTGGGGAGCTGTACCTGCACAAGCTTTAATCAATCTCATGTGTAACTCCAGCAATAACAATGTGGAAGCACAGTTCAACTTAAGCTGAAGATACAATGGACCTCATTAAGTGAAAGCCTCTTCATGATGATTAGCACATTATTAACTCCCACATACTAGCATCATCTCTTGCATGAATTCATTTGAATGTGCTGGACAGAATCTCTCAAAAGCACCACTATTTTGATTAAGTGAGTTACAGAGGGCTCTGAAGGATACATGTCTCAGATCCCACCTAACAAACTAACTAAAACATTTCCTGACACTTAGAACTCATTAATGGTGGCATCCTGAACAACGCTACCTTACAGACTGACAAAAAGCCTTTGAACAATATGCTGGGGTTTTTTATGCTTACTTTGAACAGTAAATTACATAGAAGCTATGTACAACGTAGTAACCTCAATTAAGAATAACTACACATTTTGCAATCTGCAGTACTGTCACTCCAGTGATATGGAACCTTTGTCTGAGGAACAGACTCTGAGTCTATTGTTTGCTTAATGGATTCAAATCAGCAACTGCACAGATCCACAGAAGCAACAGTGCCAATGGCAAGAGACACTACAAAAATGGAAGTATATCGATTTCAACAACAGTGGACTAAAACTGCCAAAATACTCTCAGGTCTCACTGGCTCTTAAAACTACATTACTCCTACATGGCATTCCTCCTTTCCAGTGAGTTTTTTTATCTGATCACCCTATCACATCAGAAGAATGAAAATAAAAAAAACAAAGCCAAAACCTCCCAGTGACTGTACCTCTTCACTTCACAACCCCTGATATTCAGTATTAAAGCTCCTTTGGGCTGCTGAACTATGCAAACGTTTTCAAGACAGGATATGAGGTACTCTAGGTTCCTTTTTGCCACTGGAGGCTGACTAGTTCTAGGTAGTTCATGACAGGTGAGAACACCTGAAAAACATTAATATTCCAACTCTGTCATTTACCCACACAGTCTGAACACTGTATTTAGTAAGTGCTATCCCAACATTTGCATAAATCTTTGAAAAGAAATGAAAAGTGACACATTCATTGATGAAAAACAAAGTATTTTGAGAGCAGAGAAATGTGTTTCTTGGATGGTCTATATCCAGGAGGGAATTCAGTCACTGCCACAGACAATACTGTTAAACAAAAACATGTGAATAAACATACTGTGATTTGGTAAACACTGTCCAAATAGCCACACAGATTGAAAGGCAAACTGTAAGTCTTTGAACATAAAGCTTTACTTTGGCAGATAGTAAGTGCATTTCATACATTGCAAAAAACTTGTGTCTGGTCCTTTGTTCTTGGAGAGAGTATCACCTACTTTCTTAAAGCTGAATTCCATCCAAATTTTTATTATTGTTTTCAATAACAAGAATAGAAGATCAAGAATAAATTTCTGCACTGCAGATGCATAGTCCTAACCCCAATACAAACCTGACACACTTCAGACAAAACCTTATCTTCCTGTGTTACTAAATCTGTATCTTCTAGTCTTCAAGTTGTTCTGTGGCTGCATTAGCATCACTGACTTCATTTATACTTTTTTCTTGCTTTGCTTCTTTTCTAAAAGTCTTCAAACACTTGTCAAGTCTTTTTAGGAATACATCTACATCTTGCTTTTTAATTCCAATTGCTGAGGCAGCATTGAGGTAAGCACAAGGATAGTCATTTGCATGTGACATAAAGCCTTTAAAAGTGTAGTTATTCACAGTTTGCACAGACCCACAGGGAACAACCCTGAAACAAACAAAATCATGATTCAGTTAAAGATGCCTTGACATTTTATGTGGTACTCTAGATTGAACACAATTACACAAGTTCCTATTGAAGTAGGGAGTTGCTATTCCTACCACTGATGCTCAATACCAGCAGAACTTAAAATCTGTTGAAATGCCAGGTCAAACAGCGTATACTACAAAATAATTACTTATGTAACAAAAGGGAAAACCTGAAACCTTCACATCAGGGAAAGAATTCAAAAGTTTTAACTTCAAAAATTGAAACTCTTGAACATCTCAGCCAAAGATGGTTAAAATTGCAGGACCTGCCAAGGTTAGGACAGGCAAATTAAAAAGAGCATCTAACCACAGTACATACAGATTTACTGACATTCATTTGTGCAGGAAGTGGAATAATCCAAGCTAATGAAGCATACCTTTTGATGTGGAAACATTCAGCTCTGCTACAAAAAAATAGCATTAAGTCTATGGCAGAAGTTAGCATGGCAGCAGTAATATTCAGATTAAGGAATGCTGCCAAAACAAATTTTAAATCATTCTCTTCTTCTAAAAGGTTTAAACCAAAATCATTACAGATTATTTGGCTCGCATTTCATTTTAACAGTGTCTGTAAATTCAGGTCAGACTGGCTCAGGCTATAGATTTTTAATTTTTTTTTTTTTTTTTTCACACAATTAGTTTCAGAAAGCAGATTTTTTTTCCATTTCACAAAATGTAGTGTAGGATATTAAAAGCTTATTCCCTTGACATCTGGCATAACCATATTTGTGCTGCAATAAACAAAACAAAGATCTTCTGTTGTAGCTTACACCTATACTGTAAGATCAGACAACATCTGGAAACTAAATGAAATCAAGGAATACTAGGGAATAATAACACTAAATTAAATGGGCATAGATTATCTATTTAGGATACCAAAGTAGACATAGAAAGCCTTACTGCTGACTCAGGCAGGGAGACATTACTGCTCTATAACAGTGATGACAAAGGGTGATTACTCTCTAACTCGTTATTGTTAGACTGCCTTCTGTAATCATGACACAATTGGTATAAAACACTTCACAGGATTTTGTACAATATATGCTAATACACCCCCCAACTCCCCCAATCTTTTAAATTCATAATATCCTTACCTTGCTCCAGAAACTTGTCTTGTGAAAAGCATAGATCCAAGCTGGGTAACAGCAGCATCATTAGTTTCATCCAGAGTCTTCAGTGACATGGCTAAAATAACATAAGGTCAGGTTAAAACTGCTACCAAGGTACTTTTTCTCCAAAGAACCACCACAAATGACAAGCTGCTTTCCAACTTGCTTCCAGCAAGAACCTAGTCATATATTTGTGTTCACATACATAGAAAAAAAAGAAACACTACATATAATTTTTAATTTTTCCACAAGCTGTCGCAAATTACTTCCTTGGTTAGACTGTATGCAGATTCTGCACAGGTGGGTAGTATTATTTTGGTGTATAGCAGAATTTTTGGTTAAAACAAATACCTTGAGTAGGAATTCCATAATTTCTTTTACAACACTAAGACGATGAGTAATTACACCCTAATTTACTGTTAAATCTAATTTTTATGAAGTATTATTACATGCTAACATTTTCAGCCTGTCTTGAATACATTTCTGTCAAATGAATATATTGGACAGGAGCAAAATAATGGGTCCAAGCTGCTACACTACTTTTATTGGAGATTACCTTTTTGGTAACCTTATTGAATTTTTATTCAATTGAGTAGAATGTAGTGATGTTTAATATATAGGAATGGTATTAGAAGTGCATTATGAATCCACAGTATATTCGATTTTTTTAAAAGTTAAAACCCCAACAATTACCTAAGGAAATGGGATTATGTGGCGTGTCTAACAGTCTCTCATTGTGGTTATCTGCCAGCTTCTTCAGCTCACTTGAAAGATACGAAAACATCTCCTGAAAAAAAAATGCAATATTTTTGTTATTAGCTATCAAACAGAGAAAATACCACCTATTTCACAAAACTGCTATGTCTCCATTACGTCCTACAGGTGCTCAGCTGATTCTCTTTTCATGTGTACCAAGTAAGTGGATCAGACAACTCTCTGAAATAATTCTATAAAGGAACAGCTCCATTTCCTGAGCACTGCTCTTATCTCTCAAGCTGATACAAAAGTCTCTATCAGGTCTAATATATGTGCTTGGGATGTCATTCATTCTCTCTGTAACCCTGAAACTTAGGGAGGTAAAAAATCTTGAATTTTTTGATTTTTTACCTTAGGGAGGTAAAAAATCTTGAGATTCCCACTGCACAGCAGGTCTTACCCCACACTACTTTTCAAGAGCCTTCTCATGCCCTAGCCCCCTAAGCCACTGAGAATGAGCTGTTACCATCACAGATGGCCATGTTTTGGCAAATTGCTTCTTACTTTGTCTTCTCTTTAATACATTCCAGACTAAACGCAGTATATTTTTCTAACATGTATCACACAATCACATTTCCCCCTAGTGCAGAGATTTCTTTTTCTGTATGAGAATAAAAATCCAGTCTCTTAAAGCGGCTATAAGTACACATTTGACTGTATTTTGTTTCACACAATATACACTCTCCTGAATAGTCAGCTCTGTTGAGCAGTCTGTCCTTTTCCTAGGACCCCACTCCTGTTCAAGTTGACTATAAGAATGCAAATACCTGCATTTCTGTTCTCATTTAATTGGATTGCACCTTTACTGTGAAAGTGTCATAAGACTGAGATTCATAAATACTTTGGCACAGATACAAGCCACACTGCACATAAAAGGTTGTTTCTCTTACTTCATCTGTATTTTATATCCTCCCTCTTCCCCTGTAGTAAGCTATGATAATTGCTCATGCTCTTCCTCAGTTTAATATATTCCTCTTCAGATATCAGCTCAAAACACTTATGGGCAGAGTGAGAATAAACACCATACTTATTGTAAGCTTTAGCATTTTTTCCATCCTTTTTAATGCTTAGTCTCTCATAAAAACTAGCAAAACCATACAGACACTGGGTAGCCTTTTTAAAAGGTATTAAACACCAGGCTTCTCCTCTTTCAGGCCATAAAAATTGTCCTGCTTATCTGCTTCAGTGTGTCTGCCTGTTTAAGCATCCTCATCAATTTCTGGACCTGACAAGTGATTTTTCATTCTTTAAATAGAATTACCTCTTCTGTTTGTAGAGCGGTATCCTGCTTTGACCTATGGACTCTGACAGATATAAATTACAGCTTGTGATCAAAATTATGCTTTTGAACAGAACCTCCCCAAGGTCTTATGAAACCAAATGAGGTTTGTGGCACCTAAGTTAGAAAAATGTTACAGCTGCTTTTCTTGAACCACTGCAGGAAACCTTGCCTCCCTTCATGAGCAACTAAATTAACACAGCTCCCCACCTGTACTTCCTAATATCACAGAACAAATATAGATGGAGAGAAAAAAGGATCCTCTTACTGTCTAAATGAATTAGGCTATTGATACAACTATCTACAAAAACATAAACCTTCTGTAATCCTTGAAAAAAACCCAAAAAATTGGTAGGTATCTATGTTTAATTATCAGAACTTGAAATCTGTGAAAAATCATTCTTATTTCTCATAAACCAAGTGACTTTGTGGTTTCAATTCAGAGTTTATTTACAGTTCACTCACAGAAGCTGAAAAATATTTATGTTTCAAATGTTCAGACACTTCTGTCTTTCCTCTGGTCCTTCACTGTATATAAGCACATTATTAATTTGTTGCTTTCCATAATAAGCATCACTAATATACTAGCCCTTTTATTAGTATTTTTTTCTGGAATACAAATCATAAATTATTTTGTGCTCCCTCTGCTGGTTATTTACTTCTAAAACTGAAGCAAAATATTGTAGAAATACACATATATTATGAGATAAATTAACATATAAATTCTATGGAGATATTATTGCTGAAATTAGTACTGAGAAAAAATATACTGGAACAAGACCAATTTCCAAATAATTTTTGTGTGTTGTATCTAGGAAATTCTCTGATACATCTCTCATAGTATTACTGAAAGAACTGCTGAAAGGAATACTGGAAGTACTACTGACAGTTGGTACAAAAAGTTACCCACTGCATAAATATATTAAATATAATTAAATATATATATTAAATATAATTAATTCTACTCAATGAAATTAGGTCACTAGATGAGCCCTTACATACACAGGAATTCGTTAAAACAAAGGAGAATGGAAAGATGGCAAAAAAACCCCAAGTATGTATTTTCATCAGACTAAGGCTACATGAACACGAATTCAAAGTTTCCTGTTTTTATGAACAATACTATTTTGCATATTTCTATTGGAAGCCCTCTAGACATTTTATAGTTTCAGAAGTTTGTTCCAAAATAGATTAACTGCCTTTCCAAAAAAAAGGATTAAAGCAATATTTTTGTGAGGTCAAATCTATAATCAACCTCCATTATAAAATATTTCTCATATATGGAAAATTTATAAGCACCCTAAGCAATTATATATAACTGAGCTCTTACATAATAGATTTTCTGTAGCAGGCACTCAAGTTTTCTCCAAAGCAGCCAAATATTATGCTGAAGTTACACTGAACAACTCAAGCACTAAATGTCACTTAAGTTTCATTATTAATTCACTCCTTTACCTTAGAAACTTTTCACCAAAGCTCATTAGGCTAGACAAATGAATGCTAAACTATGTGGAAGTGTCTTTCACTTCTGGTTCTTTGAGCACCTAAGCCAACAAAACACCTTTAAAAACAAAGAACAAGTCTGAACAACACTGTCTGCATCAAACAGGCCAAATAACTCAGTTGTTTGGATGAAACAGTCTACTTCCACATACATATACAAAAATATTTTCAAGAAGTGTTGTAACAATCACTAAAAATATTTGAATCATACTATATTTACACTATAAAACTATTTTTAATAAAACCTACACTAGTATAGGTGACTATTGATTTGTTGCTCCATTGTGATAGGCACTGTTCTTGCAAACGAAAATAACAAGAGGGAAACAAGTAAGGAAAAAGCCAGTAACTCCAGAGAAAAAGAAGATGGGGGTACTGAATCAGCCATCAGTCCCACACCAGGCTGACAAATAGGCAACTGATGAAAGCCAGGAAACTTCTTGTGCAGAGTTGAAACTATCCTAGCCTGCTCTAACCACCCAGCTTGCTTGGACTCTCAGTCTGTGACACTGCCTTCCTCCCTGGGTCACTCTCACCTGAAAAGACAAGCTGAGCTCAGGGAACAGTCATAGAGTTGTGGGTGGTGCGGAAGAGGACACTGCACAGGAGTCATTTTACAGCCTCTTCACCCTCCACACAGACTGCCAGCTCTCCTAGGCTTGCCTGAGACTGATCTCATCCCACTTTCCTTTGCAGCAGCAGCTGTTTTATAATGCACCCATCACAGCCTCTCCTGCTTGGTGCCTCAGGAGGACCTGCTGCTTCTGAGCTGCAATCTGACCAGAGCACTTGGTGCACCACACCACCCAGCAGAGGAGCTGCAGTGCTGGGCAGGGAGACCTGCCAGCAGATGAGAAACCAGAAGGAGGCTCAGCTTCTTGAATTGCAGCCAAACACATGACAAACTATATGTGTATGTGTGTGACACCTGCATATACTACACACCCTCCTAGGCAGATGCCCTTGCACTGCAAGAATTTTGTTATGGATTTACAGAAAGTTTTAAAAACATGAAATTAATTACAGAACCTTGAAATCTTCATATCATCAGTATCTAACAGAAAGTGCCCAGTAAACCCTGCCAATCTGATTTGGTAACACTAACATTCACATTTTTTTAGAAGTCTTTCTTAACAACAGCAATCAACACATTTTCTCTTCAGCATTTGTGAGATCTGTGACCCACACCTCAACACAGGTTTTAAGTATGGAGGCCTCTCTGAAATTTCCATTCATGCTTGGCACTTGTTTAATTACACACAATTTAAAGCAGTTAATTTTAACTAATTTGCCTCCAGCTACTCTAAAGTCTGAATATGGTTACATGTACCTCACATGAGGAAAATCCTCCAATATGCTCATATTTGACATGCTACAGTGTAACAAGCTGACTAGAAAAAAAAAAGAGAAGTAACAAATGTCTATCTTGCTTTGAGATTTTTTTACTTGTTTAATATCCCTTGTTATAATGGCTTTCCTCCTCTTCCATCGTAAGTAGAGCAGCAATACAAACTCACACTGAACTGTACAAATAATTTATTCCAATCAGAACAACTACATCAACGATAACTCATGAAACATAAACCCATTATTATACTGAATTGTAAAACCCAAACAACTTCCTCCCACTCGGTATGATTTTAAGTATTTTAGATACATACTCCATAAGGACATAAAAATAACTCCAGTTTTACTCTCAAAGTATGCAGACAGATGGATACCAATATAAAAAGCTCTATCACATCCCACAGTAACACAGAAATGCATTTAAGAAAATGAGAATTATCTTGATTGTTAAGTCTAATGAGGAAATCCATAACTGCTGTAAACAAAACCATCACCTCTTTAATAATACCGGTATAATAATTAGTTAAGTGGATTAGAAGGACCATATTGGATAATAGCAGGTATTAAACCTGGCCTGTAGGGTTCTGAATGTAAACCCTGAACACAGGGCTCTTGTTCTCCATGAAATTTGAGATGATAACTAAGCCTGCTTATGCCATTACACAGTGCAACAACTATATTTACTTCACATGGCCTGGTTTAGACAGACACATACATATATGAAAATAGAAACTTTTATGACCTAGAAATGTAAAATACAGGACATAACATAGCTTGTACTGAGGCATCAGAACTTGCTATAAAAACACAACCTTTACATAAAGTTCTTTAAGAGCAAAGGTATTAACAAATTTGTCTATGGACGAGCTGTTATCTGCACTGCAAAAGGACCTAGAATTGCCTACTGAGATCAGAAAACCACTGTTACAACCATCACATAAACACAGAAAAAGGAATTCTGAAAAGTCAGTACTTCTTCATATCACTACATATAATCTCATACTCTTGGACAATAGCACACTCCACAACTCCCAGTTTGTAAAAAAATCTCACTCCATGTACATGCTCCTCTCCCTCATATAATCTCTTCCCGTCCTGTATTAAATAGCTAATCTGTGTAAAAGAAAAACTGGGCAGATTATTTTGTTGTTTGTGTGAAACTAATCTCTTCTCAGGAATATTCTGGTCTTTCTGGCCTAAGCTCAAATAACCTGAAGTAACACCCATGTGAATGAGGATCAGGTAAAAAGAGAAAGAAAAAAATATACCTGAAGTTTTTTATAGCTGATTTTTTTTGTGTGAGTAGGTGCAGCTGCACCAATATAGAAAGGAGTACTCAATGTCAAGCTATAAATAGTTCCTGCTGGAAGCTTAATAGCTCTGCCTCTGCTTCCTCAGAGCACAGGCAATAAACCACCACTATTGCACTTTTACAATTCAGGAACAAACAGATTTAAGCAAAAATGTTTCTCTTTCTATAGCAAATCCAATAAAATAAACATATTTATGCCATATATAAGGCTCTGTTTATAGAGTATATTCACATTTGAAATAAAAAGACCTGAAGTTGTAAAAATATAATACTGTATTCACTTTAGAATTCTACTTCCAAGAAAATTAGATGACTCAAAGTATACAGCTATTCATTAAGACATTTATGAAAGAATTATTATTTATGACTTGGACAATATTTCTCATGCCCTTTATACATGTGCTACTGGTAGAAATCTAACAACAAAATCAGCATTGTAGAAAACAGTAAATTCATTTGAGATTCTTCTGGACATAAAAGAGAAAAAATACAATTTCCTTTTAATGAAGACACAAAACAAAAATTGCAATACATACAACAGTCCAGAATAAAATGCTGCAGTAGAGGCAACAGTAACTGCTTTCAGTGTTTCACAAGCTGGTTTCACTTCAGTTGCACAGATCACTTCTTAGTCATTGTAAGGCTGCTAAGTTGGTTTGGTTTTCTATAGTCGAGCTATTCCTATGGGACCTCAGTTCCAGTAGAGAGTTTATAGATGCCTCTATGAGCAGCTAGAAATAAGTCACAGCATCTAAAACTACTGCTCTGCCACATAATCAGAGACAGCAGCAAACTGCCAGCAGAAAACACCTGGAACATAGCTTTCAAATAAAATAATGAAACAGATAATGCATAGCTTAAAATTATTAATTTAATAGTACTTAATTCACAGTATTTCCTTATATGAAGACTCTATAAAAAGAATCTTGTGCATTACTATATAAAGAGAGAAAAATCATATGCATTAATTCCAGAATGAAGGATAACTCAAGATATACAATTTTAAATCTGACATGCACTGGATTTTTTTGCAGTGGAATAATACCCAACTTAAAACCTATAGTCTGTGAAAAGCAGAGAAGAAACTTAGCTGTGTGTCTAGATGAATAACTAAAACAACAATATTCTTCTCCTTTTGTGGAATGCACAGTATTTATAACCCAACCAGAAGCTGTGATTCTTCAGAGAATGTGGCACACAAACATTTAATTAAGCACTATCATAGCACAAAGGCACAACAGGGACAAAAGAGGAAGAGCAAAGACCTGGGGTTACTCTGGGTGTCCAATCTCCTGGCCTGAAGCAGTGTGACTATGATACTAGAGTACAGCATTTCTCCATTTAAGTTTTTGTGGACAAAATTCTACTATATTAGTCACATTTAGAAACAACAAATATGAATACTGTACAAGATAGCACAGGCCCTCCGTTTAGCCTCCCAGACTGAACAAACAACAACAGGGAAATCATGCTTACTCATGAGCACCATTTAGACAAGAAGTAATTGTATCATACTGACTTTCCAGATTCAGAGCTCTGAGCTCAGAATAAGTTCAATGGTTTTCTAGACAGAAAAGCTGGGTTTACTACACAGAGCAGTTTTGCAACAAGACTTTGTTAACAGCCGACTTCAAGGAAATACTGCTTGCCAGAAAGCTTACCTTTCTCTCTTTCAGTAACTTTTTGTAGCCACTGGCTCCCAGAGACAGAAGTGTAATGAGGACATCTAAAGAAGGAGATGCAGATGCTCTTCCTGAAAAAAAACCACCAATATACAGATTAAAGTGGCAAAAAAAAAAAAAAAAAAAAAAAAAAAAAAAAAAAAAAAAAAAAAAAAAAAAAAAAAAGTTTTATACAAAGTGAAAGCTGATAATCAAGTTTTCTACAGCAATTCTGTATGGCTGAAATCAGCCCATGAACTAGTTACCTGGATACATTTTGCTGATCTCCTGAATGAAGGACTCGTTGAAGCCAGCAATGATAGCACCACCTACTGGAACCATAAAATTTTTGTCCAAGCTCTGAACAAAAGCATCTATTCTGCCAACGCGAGCACCCTTTATCAAAAAGGACAAAAAAAAACCATCTGCAGCATACATTAGAGCAAAGGGAAACTGATAGCATCATAATTACATACAAGTGTAGCTAAAATAAATATAATTCCTGAAAATCTTAAGATACTGCATTTGTGATCAAAATATAAAAATAATGGTATTACCTCTTTTAGCACTGCTTACTATTAGTACCATTGTCTGCCTAATATAGAACCTTACAATTTCCCATTTTGCTGTGATTTAAAATATCCATTTTAGTTCCTGCAAGTCTAAGTGTGGCTCCATTTCAGCAACAATCAAAAAGAAACCCCTCAAAATTTAATTGGAATTATACAGTTAAAACTGTTCAATCCTGAACAATTTTTACAACTCTCACAATAAAAGGCTACAAGTTAATGCTTCATTAGCAAAGCTTTTTACAATACATATATAAACTTGCATTAAACAAACAGGCTTATTACAGCACTCCTTCTTCTAAGGCTGATTTCAAAATCAAGATTCAAGTACCTTCTTATAGTAGACATCCCCCACATCCTTATACTAACCACTCATATTTTCAAAGGAAAAAATGTAGATGCTGCAGTACACCTTCAATTTGAGTAGCATGTAACTGTAAAATGTACAATTAAAAAGTATGAAGCATAAGAGAACCTGAAAAGTAGGTTAAACCCCATACATACAAAGTACATGCAAATAAAATATTTTTAAAACTACATACTAAATGTAAGAAGTAGAAACAGAGTTAATACCTGTGGCAAACAGACTGAAAAAAAGCTGAGCCAACTAAACCTCATTTATTAGTTCTGTTTTGATAGCTTAATGCACAGAAGAACACTCCAAATTTGTCAGCTTTTTGTTGGGAACATGAATGCCAGCAGCTACCATTTGACTAAATTGACAAGAGAACACCAGAGGAAAAGCACAACATGAAACAGTCTCAAAAGCTTTTTCCTATGGTACTCTTGCAAGCCGTATTCACACTGCACTCAGCATATACATATTCCTAAGTATTCCTTAATAACTACTTTCTCATAAACAGAAAATTTTCTAGCACAAATAATAAATGTTGTTAAAAAATGTAAAACAAATCAGAGCTCAAATGTATGCATTTGCATAAGCAAAGAACAACCTATTGAGTCTAGAAAAAACACCAAAACACAGTAAAAATTATATTTGTAGCATTATAATCTGAAATGTTTATCATTAGAATATTTCATGCAGCAAAACCCAGAACTTCCACAGCCTCATTCATGCTAGTTTCTCACTAAACTTGAGCAAGTTAAATACAATAAACATGTACTAAGTACCTTACAAATAAAGCATATACCATTTTCTATTTCATAAATTCCTTCAGTCTTTCAAGATTTAGAAATGTCAACACGATGTTCTTTCACAATTGTACGTTAAGCTGGTCTGTGTCCTGTTAGTAATGTCTAGGCAATCAATTAAAAAAAAACCCCAGCATATTTTACATTACTAATAGTTCAGGATCCTCTGGATCCTATTAAAATATAACCCCCTATTCTTTTGAATAGGTAACAGAAAAGAGAAGAACAATGCACATACAATACAATGAGGAAAAATGCAAGAATTCTGTTTCATGACTGATCTTAGATATCAAGCAACATCCACTTCAAACTAAACAGCAACAGAAATGAAACTTTTTTGAGCATAACACTGAACCTAAACCAGTTTCCTCAGCCATTCTCTGTGCCAAAAATATTTTCACAGCGACAACGCCTATCAAATGCTGCTGTAGAATTCCGTACCCTCAACTAAAAATCTGTAACTCACTCTGTTGAAGGCTTAATTTCTATAAAAGTATGATCCATTATGTCACTTTTAGTGAACAACTTTAGGAAATATTTTAAGAAAGTTTAATAAGGGTATTTCTCCACTATAAAGACACATGAACATATACAAAAACTAAATAAATTTAGGGTAACATAAAAAGCACATAATAGAAACAACAATTATGCTTAAATTGTATTTCTGTCTGTTGTGCTTTCCCAGAAAATTGTTCAAATATCAGACATGCATGGGATTATTCTCAAAGCTATGAAGCATCTGATCAAATTTGCTAGGTTGTCTACAATCACAGATTTACTTATACTTGCTAAAAAATATTATTGGTAATACACAGCTCCTACCTGCTGGATAAGATGCATACATTTTGAAGACTGAACTCCATATGCATTGTTGACAATATGTGGAATGTCATAATTAGCACAAATTACAGCCAGCTCCTCCAGCCTGTGAGCATAAAATTGTAATTTAGAGAAGCATTGATTACTGTAGCTCATCTTACAAGTCAGACCATTAAAAGACTGAAAGGTCTACAAGGAAGTCAGAATGAGAAAAGCAACTTTTTTGATTAGTACCTCAAGGCAGTATTTGTCATCTTAAGCTATAAAGTTAAGATGAAAATTCTATTATATATAGAATATATATAAATTCTATTATATATATAATATATATATATAATATATATTATATATATATATTATATATATATATTATATATATATATTATATATATATATTATATATATATATTATATATATATATTATATATATATTGCAAATTGTTGATCTAGTCTGATGATTTTCTTGCTTCGCTTTAAGCTTTGTCTGGACACCAGGTAATATATCCCAAACCATTAAGCTTTAGATACAAGCTTTTTGTTGTTGTTGTTGCTTTACTATTAACTAACATAGCTTTAGCTAGTCACTTTTTTTTTTCTTTTCTCTAATATTCAACATGAAAAGAGTCTATAGCAGTTTCAAGAATGTCTTGGGAATCAAAAGCATCCTGTAACAGGAAGTTTTCACATGTTTCTCAAAGAACTAGTATTTTGATCCTTTGGCTGGAATCTCACTTGCATGCTTCAGGTAAAATCATTAAGAGAAAATAAATTCTTTAAAGGAATGGAAAACCCTAAAATATCTGAATATGGACATCAACAAATTGAAAATTTGTTCAGCTGTTTACTTTTCACTTGTCTTTAGAGCCCCCTGAAATCACAGTAAGCTCAACCTGGATTGATTAATCAGTCAAATTAAGATTTATGTAAGCACACTGATCATTTTAAGTAAGATCCTTCAGCATTTTAAACATATGCAGTACCTTTTTCTGAAGCACTCCAATCATGCTATATTTAGAAAAAAATTACTCATGATTTTCCCCAAACTTCTGAAACTATTTTAGAAATATAATCTATTTGAAAAAAAAATAGGCAATATAAAATAATTTGAAGTGATGATAAAGGTAATATTACCTTTAAAAAAAAAAATCAGGAAACTACTTCCAATGCATTTTTACTCTATCTCCTCCTGTACAGCCTCTCACTGTAATTTACTGACATACATATAAAATGTGACAGAGTATGAAAACATTTTCCAAGAGGTGACATTCCTTTGCATTCTATTTTTATTACATTTTCTAGTGTTGTTCTGCAATGCAAAATTCTGCTGCAAGTGTCACATTAATTTTTCCAAACATAAATTCTTAGGAAATCATCATCACCATATTATCCTAAAAAAAAAAAAATCAAAAGTACTTTATAATTAGGAATCACCAGTAATATAATGTACATATTGATCTACAGTCAAGATATTTGTCAGAAGCTGCATTTCCAATAATTTTTCACATTTATCACCACAGAATTACAATATATTCTGAGTTGGAAGGGACCCACAAGGATCATCAAGGCCAACTCCTGGCCCTGCACATCACAATCCCCAAGAGTCACACCATGCATCCGAGAACATTGCCCAAATGCTTCGTGAACTCTGTCAGGCTTGGTGCTGTGACCACTTCCCTGGGGAGCCTGTTCCAGTGCCCAAGCACCCTCTGGGTGAGGAACCTTTTCCTAATATCCAACCTAAACCTCCTCCAGCTCAGCTTCTGCCCATTCCCTTGGGTCCTGTCACTGGTCACCACGCAGAAGAGATCCGTGCCCGCCCTCCTCTTCCCGTCATGAGGCAGCTGTAACTGCAATGAGACCTCCCCTCAGTCTCCCCTTCTCCAGAATGAACAGACCAAGGGACCTCAGCTGCTCCTCATGTGCCTTCCCCTCATTAATAGAATACTTGAGGAAACATATTACGCAGGGCAAAGTTTTTGCCTTCTGATGTGCTGGTTCTTAATCAGACGCATTCCTCTCCCTCTAAAGAGACTCAAAGGAACATAGCTTCCCTCTTACAGGCTTCTTGTCAAGTGTAGGCACAGAATTTCACCAAACTAGAAACACAAAGGGTGTACAGCTATGTATGTTGATCTTTCTCTCCTTCTGAAAATTAAAGGAGCAATAACCTGTGTTCTACAATTACTGAAAACAGAAAAGTCTTTCTTCCCTAAAAATATTCTATTGAACAATTAGATCCATTGTGCAATACAGAATGAGAATGCTACAATTTGAAGAGAATGTGTTAGCATGCAAGGGAAGCAAATGATGCACAGCATCTTTATGTATCTGCACCTGCTTCCAAGGCTTAGAATACAGCATTGAAAATGCTACTAATTATATCATAAAAATAAAGCATTAATGGAAGTTGGCTACTGAAGTTCTTAACAGTCACAAATACAGAAGTATTTCCCACTTTATTCTTCCTTTCTTTCTCTCCTGTTTGTTAAAGTTCATGAAAAGGAAGCTTTGTTCTTTTTTTTTAACTACTGAAAGTTAAAAGATACAGGATTCTGCTAAGTACACAGAACCAACTGAAGAGGACACTTTCTCTTTTGTTCTCTTTAATACAGTAGTTTTACAAACACCTTACAGCAACAGCAGGTAGAATACTGAAAAAGAGGGTTTATACACTAGAGAATTACTCCCATAGAGTTAAACAGTACTTCAAAGGAAAGCCATAGGTACGGCAGCCATAAAACGACAAAAAAATTTAAAACACAGCCACCACAACTAAATAAAGCCTTACAAATGCAGATATTTAAAAACAGACATCTAAAATTGCACCCTCCAGAAATGCTGTCAGGGTTTTCCTTCCCATAGGAAGATGAAGGTTATGGCCTTCAACAGCTGACAGTTTCTTTTAAACAAAAAGTACATTCAAATCTTCCTATTATAACATATACTATAACATAGTGCCACTATGTAGTAATTCATCTCTTAGTTGTAGAGGACAAAACAATAGCAGCATGTCAAAAAGAGGAAGCAGATAAGGGGAAGATTCATTTACCCAAGCTATAAAACAACCATTCAGTTTTGATAGCTGTGATTTAAGTTAGCCAATAAATCTGCAAGTCAACTTCAAGCAATGTTCATAGTATTCTGACAGAATTATATGGTTTTAACTCTCATCTTTCCCTCTAGCAACTAGGTTAACCTGTGATAAATACTGGGGTTTTTTTAAGGTAGGAAAGGAGAGTGAAATATAATTTTACTTGCCACATTTTAGAGTCAACAACATTTCTTTCCTATGCTTGTGGAGAAGAGTAAGAAAAGGTAACAGTAACATCTAAAAAATGGCATTAGATATGGAGCTACATTTCCTGGATTATGTTTCCATGAGAATCTACTTTTACTACTTCCATGAAATTTTACGAAAACCGCTAGCAAAATGACGTGAATTTCACCACAAGAGAGCAACATTAACCTCACTTACACAACAGAAGAAAAATCTTCTGAGTAATTTTCCCTTTTAAATATACTTTTCTGGAAGAGGATTAAAGAACCTTTTCTAATTTCTGGCAGCAGCAATTTCAGGAAAATGGATGCTCAAAACATGGAGGTGTTGCTTGGGTTTTTTTGTTGTTGTTGGGGGGTGGGGAGGATGTTTACTTGTTTTAACAGTAACAAATAGCACACTTCTTACAGAGACTGCTTACCTATCAGGTACCCTTGGAGCAAAGCAAGATGTTGTAGAATGCACACAAAGAATATTTTCAGCACCAAGAGCCTTGATTTTGGCCTCCACTGCTTCAAGGTCTGTCCGTAGCTCATCACCTTCTAATACATTTTCTATCACCACAGGCTCAAAACCTGATCAAAAAAGCAAGAACTGAATGTAATTCAACAAATCTGACTAATTGTGGGGGTTTAGTTCCAGGATACATTTGAAAAACACATCATGCTACTATTGTTCTGATAGATTCTAACAGAAAAGACTGTGCAAATCAGACAGATTGTTACCTTCTGATCACAATTCCTAGGACACAAGCTTTTGCATAAATTTGAGAGAGAGATTTGAACCACGAGCTTTGGTTTTACATAACTCTAAGGACAGCAGATTAGCATCTTACTCTGAGGGTGAACTGTAACTTCCTTAGTATTGTGTTCTCACTTGACTCCTTTATACACCCCTGTACCACTGCACACACCTGCATTTTGCAAGGCATTATGAAGACAGCATGCACATTTTAATTACATGTTAGAAATCAGGAGTGCACAAATAAAACAGAACTACCATGCATTGGGCCTTTTTTGTATCTTACTACAAGGATATGAATTGATCACTCTGATAGATGGAAGTTTTGTATCTGTTGGAAGAACACTGTGTCATCAATCAGTTACCTTCTTACCTGCAGTTATCATTGATTTAAAGCAAGATTTTTGGTCTATACGTGGCCAGATAATGTATTTTGCCTTTGGTCTCTTGTGCCTCAATGTTAAAAAACACAGAGTTAGACTCATGCCTGTTGCCATAGGAACCACAAAGCAATTGGTCACTGTCCGGACACCTGCATGTAAAAAGCAAGTCAGAAATTAACATGAAGAATCATGATGTAACTTCACAAACAAGTGAGATTTTTCAAATTTACACTTACCAGCCAGTTTTATAACATCCAGAACTACTGAATTAGTAAGTTTGTTCAAAAGGCTTGAACCTGCAGCTTTGGGCTGTACTGCAGAAATATCACCTGACCTTCCAATTCCATGGATCAACCTAAACAAAATAAGATGAAAACACGCATAAAGATTTTCATGTTGCAAAGCCATAAAGCTTGCTGACTGAAGAGAATTTAACTTGATAAACAATTGTGGAAAACTTTGTGCGCAATGCAACATCAATATCTGCCACAATCAACTCCATTTTAACAAACAACTCATATTTGTATGAAATTTTTTAACAGTAGATTAACAATGTTCCTGTATGCAAGTAAAAACTTTGAGAAGATCCACAGCAGCAGCACCTTAGCCTCTGGCAGGTTTCCTTTTAAGTTTCCTTTTTTTTCCTTTTCCCTTTAAGTTTCCTTCTAACACCTCAGCACTTCTTGATGTTTGTCAAAACAGCATTATAAATGCTGACATGTTCAGACACACAACCAAGGAAAACAAAAATTAGTTGTCTATAGTGTAGTGTAGCATAGGCATAGTGGTATTATAGATACTCCTTTGACAAATGCTTCTTCTCCATAAGGCAAGGAAATAATATATACAAAGTGATATACATGGATATATGCATCGCTTTGCCCATCTTATACATCTTCACTTCATCTATCATTCTGCTATTCAATGTTATCTATCGTGGAATACTATGTCTTTCTGCAGTTTGTTTATAAATTACGGTTACAAACTGTGTTTGTAAATATTGAACATTATTTAGTTCAGGAGTGGAGGATCCTGAAGTAATTTATAAAATACAAGCTTACAGACCAAATTTACCCCTGGCTGAAATGCAGCAGCTGCTCAAGTAAGCTAGTAACAGTATACACCTACTTATGCTTTAATTCCTTTTTTGTCTTGGCAACAGAATAAAATGCAGTCCAATGAGTATATGATATTCAGAACTTCTTAGAGCATAGTTATACAGCTTAAATTTATTTTCCTGTTTCAAGTTCTAAGTTGAAATCAACAAACACTTGATTGAAACTTACATATAATACTCACTCCACCTAAAATATTTTCTTCCCTCATTCTTGCTGTGTTTTTAATAGCTGTCTCATAACTGTACTTTTAATTTTGTGCACTTATGTACTGCTTCCTAAGAAGTAATCCTCCCTAAGACTGCCCCTTTATTAAGCTAAAAGGAGAGACAGCTTGAAAACCATCTCCTGCTACCTCCATCACTCCCAAAGTCACCTGTAAAACTTACTGCAGAAATAAGTGGAGGGGAGGACACCTTGCTATTGCTGACACTCACAGGAGAAGTGAGATGCCAGGTGACAGAGCTGCATTGGAACAGCAGTAGTGAACACCAGTTCAGGCTCCCTCTGGCCAGAAGCCAGGCACACTTTCTCCAGCACTGTCCAAAAGCAGAACTTCCGCAGACATCCTCCCCTACCTTAGTCTAGAGAGCTGTACACAAAAATAAAAAAGCCAAACTGATGGATCACTGGATTTTGGCATTAATTTATCATGGTACTGTAGGGCTTATGAAAGCCATCAAGCCTAAGTAACTCAACCTCCGTATGGTAAAGCTTACTAAATTTCTGATCTCTAATATATTTTTGTGTTTATCTTTTGAGGAGAAACATCCTGGAACTTTCACTTTGTTTCACTCCTGTTGGACAAAACATCACAGCAAGGTACTCAGCACAGAACTCAACACACACACACAAAAAAGTACATCCATAAGGAAATTAACGCAGAGCCTCTAAAGTGATAGAATCCAACATTCCCATTAAGAAAGTGTCAGAAGGGCTACAAGGTAATAACAGCTCTTTTTGTCTTTAGAGATCTCCTTACTTCATATAAAATCCATTACAGATGACTGGGGGTTCATCTGCTTATCAACTATTCACATTATAAAGCTATTAACAAATATAAAAAAAACCAAATAGCTGTTCACTGTCAGCGTTCAATATTGTGCAACTAGAATGTGCAGTAGTTTTTAGTAACAGACAGATGAAAAGCTGCACCTTGTTATAAAAGGCATGTAATGCATAGATTATTTTAAACAGTAAGATCTCACAAATAGCTGTTCACTGTCAGTGTTCAATATTGTGCAACTACAATGTGCAGTAGTTTTTAATAACAGATGAAAAGCTGCACCTTGTTATAAAAGGCATGTAATGCATAGATTATTTTAAACAGTAAGATCTCTGCTTCCCTTGTAGAGGACAACTCAACAACTTCAGCTTCAACAAATTCAGTGTACAGGACATAATCCTGACATTTTTGCTTTGTTCAAGAATTTCTATAGAGTTATTAATGAAAATTTAATATAGAAAGCTGTATCAATTCAATTATCACATTATATTATTTTTCTCAAATGCTATCAAGGTCTTAGATAAACAAAACCACAATAAAGTATGCCATTGGCAAGCATTAATAACAAACCTGAATAATTCAAAATTGGCAAGCATTAATAACAAACCTGAATAATTCAAAATAGTCAATAATTTGTACCTGTAATGCCTTCGGGCAACAAGACCTGACGCCACTCTTCCTTCCCTCTCACCAACACCACAGTTGCCCAGGAAGTTATTGCTATCCATTATAGCAAGTTCATGAAGAAACAATTCAATGGTGCTTTCATCCCATCCATCTTCAGGACATTTCCCCTTAATAATAATAATAATAATAATATAAATATGAAATTTGGAAATGAAAAACGAACAAAACTTTACACAACTTTTTTGATTATTGTTACCCTTCTTCCTCATGTTAAGCAGCAGTTTGTATTTTCATTATTCCCTTTTATACTACCTAATGTTATGAAGCTGTATTCAGAGAAAAGTTAAATAATGATTTTCCCATGTGTTAAATACAATTACATTAGCACATCCCGACATCAAAACAATCAGGATATTTTTTACCTTCAAGTGTTCTCTATGGTACACACAAAACCACTGCAGGGCATACATGTTAATTACTCCATAAAAGCCTACAGATTATTTGATGCATTCTCTAGACATGATGTACAAGAACTCAACAGCAAAAACTGCATAAAAGGGAAGATATTCAGATATTAGAGAACCAAACACATGAGCAGAAGGGAAATATAATTTTAATGTAATACGTCTTCCTATCCACACATGTTTCTTTCCAGTTATTATCTAATAGGGAAGGAAATAATTACCAAAATATGTCAAAACCTGCAACCAGAAACGTGCCCTTTCTTGTGCTCTTTACTGAATTAACAACTGCACCCATTTTTGCAAATTGCAGACAAGATTCTCAAAGCAGGGACCCACAAAACCATGAAGACTTTTTACAGGTCCAGAGGCTTTTTCACATGGCCCAGTAACAAAACAGCCAATTCAGTAAATCTAATTGGTTTCTGAACTGTGGTATCAAAGTTAAGTTGGAAACAGTAGAAGACGTGACTGAGGATGCCGAAGAACTGAAACATTTGCTAATTCATTGGCAATGATTTTAATACGCTGTAGGCAATGAGATACATTGTTTTGGCACCTTACAAGTATCGCTTTTTGCCTCATGCAACAATGTGCTGGTATCTTACTGTTTTTAAACATTTATTTAACTGTTTGCTGGGCCTTTCTCGGCAAACGCACAACTCAGGGCAGTAATTTTCCTCCCAAACGCGGCCTTTCACTCTGGGCTCCGTCAGGTCCCTGGGATCAGGGCAGGGGCTCTCCCGCGGCGGCGCCGTGCCAGAGGGCAGAGTCCGTGAGCCCGGCCGGCCTGCGCGCTCACGGGGCTGCGCGGGGCCGCCGCGATCCGGCCCGGCCCGGGGGGCGGCTTCCCCGCCCAACCCGGCTGCTCGGAGGGCCGGCGGGCGGCTCGAGGCCACTCTGCCCTCTAGAACCGCGGTGCGCGGAGAGGCAGCTCTGCCGCAGCGCGGACGGTGGTGCGCAGGGCCCGGCTGCTGGATGCCGCCCTGAGCGGCGGTGCCCCGCTCGGCCCCGGTGCGCAGGGGCGGGGGGCGGCGGCCCCATTACCTGCTCCAGCAGCGCCCGCAGGCGCAGCTCGTGCGCGCGGCGGCCCTGCGCCCCCTGGCGCACGTAGGCCGCCGTCACCAGCCGCTCGCTGCAGCCCTGGTTCTCCGCGTTCATGGCCGCGGCGCTCCCGCCGCCGCCGCTCCCCCTCCGCGCCGAGCGGGCCTGTGCGAGCCGGGCACTTCCCGCCGGGAAGGGGCGGGCGGGGGCGGTGCGGCGCAGGCCGCAGCGCTCCGCGGGGCCGCCCCTGCCCGGCCCTTCCCGGCCGCTGGGCGGGGCCGGGCCGGGCCGGGCCGCCCCCGGTGCAGGTGCGGGGCCGCAGGGTGCCGATCCGAGCTTGGGGTGTGTCACAGGCGGGGTCCCGTTGAGCGGCATCCCGCCAGAACCCAGAGTGCTGGGCTGGGAAGAGCCTGTTGGTGGGCTAGTGTTCCCTGCCCCGCAGAGTTTAGCATGGGGCTGTTGGGAACAGCCACGTACCTCCCCACTGCTCCGACAGGGCGAGGGCGTTCTCTGCTCCTCGGGACTTGTCTGGGGACACGGGTGCTTGTGGGACGATCCTCAGGGAATAGCAGCAGCCTGCTAGGGCTGCGGGCGCAGCCCAAAACTGCATCACAAGGACAAAGACATGTTACCCAGCGAGACATAATTTTTTTTTTTCTTTTTTCTTTTTTCTCCTCCACACCTTGGGGAAAAACAGTTTCACCAGCAGGAGGTTTCCAGGCCAGGCTTTGCACCTTTGCTAGGAACTGCCAGTAAAGCCTCAGCAGGTGGAAGTTCCCTGGGGCACAGGCAGCCGGCAGCCGTCGCTGTCCTTTGCCCCCCGGCGGCCACGGGGACCGGCAAGTTCCCATTTGCCTCCTTGAAATAACTAGTAGGGAGCGGAAAAAAAAATTTAGGAGGCGCGTTAAGTACGTGGTGTGTTTGTTCCAATGTTTAATTATAACCGGCCTGTATCTGGTCAACTGAATCTGTTTATTAAATCTTATCTGATTCTTCTGTTTTACAGTTTTAAGCTCAGACGGCGAATGGGAGTATGAAGTGTATGTAGTGACCATCCCGCTTCTGTAAGTTTAGTTAGCCTGATTAGGATCTTCTGAGCGTTTTGACAGAGTAATCTTACCCATCTGTTTGAATTGTTGGCTCATACTGTAATTAACAGTTTCACAGCCCTTTGAGCAGAAGAGAGCTCTACAAGTTGAAATCTCCGCCTTGGCGGTGCCCGCAGTCCCCGGCGCTGCTGGATGTGCGGCGGAGCAGCTGCTCCTCCCGGCCTGTACCGCAAGAGAGCGCTCACTAAAGTGAGAAGTGCACGGCCTTGCAGGTATTCCTCTTTTTCCCTTTTTCTTCCGCTCCAATGTTCCGACATAGTGCTCAAATACATAAAAGCAGATGACAAAGTTTGCTCTGTTGGTTAGAAAGATAGGGACAAAAGTTTTAGCATGAGGTAAATGACCCAGCTTATTTACGTGACGTAATTCTTAGGAATTTTAATCCAGGTGGCTAATTGAAAAGTATTAGCTGTTTGGAATTAAAATTAATGGTTTGTTAATTACTATGACGGTAGCGTGTATTTTTTTTAAATTATGAGTTCTCGTGGTGTTTGAACTCTGCACTACTGAAGAGTGAGGCAACGTAAAGGCTTTGTTAGATCAAGACTTGTGAGCAAGTTACAGAATTCTTATTGAAGCAGAAGATGAAAACTACCAGTTAATTGCATTTAAAAATACACTACTCGGTGTAGATGAACCCATGGAAAAAAAAAAAAAAGGTTTTAAAACTTTTTTTTTGCTGTGAGGCTGGTGAGACATTGGCACAGAGTTCTCACAGAAGTTGTGAATGCCCCATCTCTGCAAGTGTATAAGGCCAGGTTCAATGGAGATCTGAGCAACCTGGTTTAGTGGAAGGTAGCTTTGTCCATAGCAGGGGAGTTGGAAATATCTTTAAGGTCTTTAAGGAAAATCTTTACGGTCCCTTCCAATCCAGGTCTTTCTATGAAATAACTAACAAGTTATTTCTTATTTTTTTCAAAAGCATTAACTCACCATCTTTTTAGAAGCTAGTGAATTGACTGTTCAATGGAACATTATTGAAACAGATGCAACTCACTTGTAGCTAAAGGCAGGTGTAGTATTACTGAACAGTGTGCTGGGAAAAATGTCAGACTTCTCCCTTTTAGTTTGATCTTTTTGTTTGCTTCACAAAGAAATTAATGTCCATTTAATTTTCTGTACAGAAAATTACATCCAGTTGCTGTAACCTTCATATATGTGTTTACTAGGCAACAAATGGCTATTCATCTGGAGTCACAGATGACTTCATTTTTAATAGAAAGGAATAGGAACAGAAATGCAAATGTGAACAGATTTTATCAAATATTACAGATATTAGTAGTTACTTAGGTAAATGACACTCAGCTTAATTCCAAAGTCCACTGGCTGACAGGCAACCCTAGACAAAACAAACACAAGTCCAGCATTTCAGTCAGGCTATATTTTGTCAAGAATAATGATTTTCTACCAAGAAAAGTGATTTTTTCCCCTGTAATCCAGATTATGCACATATCAAGTTCTTACACCATGCTCTTCACTATGAGACTAAAGAATAATAAATACATACAATTACTATTTTTAGCTGAGAACTGATTTGCTCCCAGTATAACCCATAATCTCAGTTTTATGCAAGTATTTAATGCATGTATCTTTCTCCCATATTTCACCAAAACTTGAGGAAAACCCCTCTTCTATAGACAGGATTGGGAGAATGCATCCAGGCTGAAATCCGACGCAGTATGTTGGAGTTATAGTTGTATTCACATTTTTCAGTTAATAACGCATGGACAGTGGGAGAACATGGAAATAATGGCAATGTATTCATACTGTTTTCTCTTATGCTGTTTTTAGGCTTCGTTTGGGAAATTACCGTGATGATGGTATAGAACAATGTTGTGCAAAGTTTGGAGAGGGAGAGCAGCTGGCTATGGCAAGTGGTAGCCAGGAGGCAAGCGTGTTCCAGGTGTAGAACTAAGGCGAGTGTCAGGGATGTTTTTGTTAAACATCCAGCGCTGAAAGCCGCTCGCTGGCCGGAGGAGCCTGTGGAGCTGCCCCCGGCCGCCTCCCGCCGCGCTCGGCCCGGGCCCTGGCCGCCCATGGCGGAGCCGGGCGCGGAGGAGCCCGACGAGCGGCTGCTGCTCCTCGTGGAGTCGCCGCCGTCGCCGCCTCAGGCAGAGCTACCCCGGCGGGGGCCGCAGAGTGCGAGAGCCGCCCCTGGCGGGGCCGTGCGGCAGTGTGGGGAGCCGGGGCTCGAGGAGGTGGAGGACTCGGATGAGTCGGAGGACTCGGGGCCCGAAGGGGATGGAGAGGACGAGCCTCTCCTGCGGGCGTCTTGTAGCGGCCGCGGGCGGCGAGCGGGCGCCGCCTGGGACAAGGAGCGCCGCGCCGCCGCAGGTACGGCCCGGGGCGCCGCGCTCGGCGGGACGCGCGGGGAGCGGCAGCGCGGGTCGGGCCGCCCGCGGGTCCCGGGGCAGAGGCAGCCCCTGCCTTGCTCTGGCCTTCCAGCGAGGCTGCAAAAATACCTGTTGGGTCTGGAGTGCTCTTGATGTGCCGTGTCCGAAGGCACGGCATCGGTGAGGGGCAGAGGTGTGTTGACCTCTGTAGATGTATGGGCTCGCTGGCTGATAGAAGGGAAGATGCTGCAAACGGGTAGAAATTCCATTGCTTTGTCCCTGTGTGCAGAGCTGCACGAACTCGTTTACATCTTCATGAGTGTCTCCACTGTCACTTCTTCCCGCTCTCTGTGCTTTGTTTGGCCTTGTTTGTTTCTGTATGCTGTTTGAAACTTGTGGCTTTGCCTGTTTTAGAGACTGTTTTGTGGTGGGACTGGCTGCTGCTTCCTGAACACTAGGAGAAGTGTCAAGTTTTCAGTTTGACTTGCATATCCCACTAACTACTTTTTTTGTGACCCCCATCGTTTCATCTTGAAAAACAAGTCAGTCTGTGTTTGTTCTTTGTTTTACTCATATGCTCACTTTGTAACCATCGCATGCTTTTAAGAGTTTTAGATGTGGGCTCTACTGTCATATTTTTGGTTTTCATAAAAATGCATCTTCTTTTTGTATTTTCAAATCAGTTCTCAAAAGAGAGAAATACAATGTGAAAGTCCAGAAATGCAAGAACTTAGTTATTAATTTGAAAACAGATGTAAGTGTGCCCATTATCTCATTCTAAATATAATGGCAAAGTGATAAATTACATGATATTTATTGCTTACTTTCTTTTCTTTAGACTTCCAAGCTTTCTGATTTTGTGCAAGTTTCTATAAAAATATACATCTAGGATGACTTTGCTGATAGAAATATGTGGAGTTCTATCACTTTGTTTTTGCTGTTGTAATTATACTGTAGGATTTCTTGCCAGAGACTGGCAACACTGATTCTTTTGCAACAATAGAGTACTTGAAAAAAATCGAAACACACCCCATCCCTGCCATCAAGTTTAACAAAATAAGTTGTGCTAATAATTCTATTTTAGTAACTACAGAGAACTTTTACTTGTTGGCCATAAAGACAGAAAAAATCTTGACTTTTAAGCACTGGTCTCAAGTGTAGTGCATACCTGTAATGTAAACATGCCATTAAATGTTAGGGTTTTCCTGTCTTTTTCCTACAAGACTTAAGATCTGCTACAGAGATAGTGCTTCTAGCAAAGTATTTCTAGAAACTTTAAAAAAGTTGATGCTTCAGAGTGGAGGCTAGAGCCATGGGTCTTGCACCACTGAAGCAATTAGGATGGTGAATGTAGTGTACTACTTGAAATCAGCCCCAAAAGTGTGTAAGAAAATCTCAGAACTGATATTGATTACAGCATCTCATCCTTTGTTTCCTTGTCCTTACCTTTTCTGTGTGTGACCCTTGAAGGTGCAGGATTGTTTCACGTGTCAGGTGGAACCAACATGCACCAGATGTTATTCATGAATGTTATTGCAACACACAGTGTTTCCTTAATGGAGTTGTGGTCAGAATAGCAGAAGATGGAATTGGTTAAAGGGACTACCTTTGATCATGTTAATGTTTAAAATGTATAAATGTAGCTTAGTGCTGAAGGAGTAATACCTGTTACTCTGTATCAGTTTAGCTTAGCTCGTGTCGTGCTAACTTGATGGAAGAAGAGGTTGAGGT